CATGCCTGTAGTCCCAGCTACTCGGGAGGCTGAGGCAGAAGGATTGCTTGAGCCCAAGAGTTTGAGGTTGCTGTGAGCTAGGCTGACGCCATGGCACTCACTCTAGCCTGGACAACAAAGTGAGACTCTGTCTCAAAAAAAAAAAAAGTTAAGGAAATCAATATACCATATACCTGGTTTTATCAGAGATCCACTCTTCATTGATGTCCTCATGCATTCGTGGCAAGATCCTCATTACTTCTCCAGTTCTTGTGCTAACCACAATATTACTTCCAACCGCATCCATTACATCAATGGATTCTGTCTTTCTGAGAAAATAAATACATATATTTACTTGTTGATTTTGAGAATAAAGACAAAGTTTGTATTACCCAGTTTACCAAAAAAAATTATTTTAATAATTCTTTCTGAATTTCTAAAAATAATGGAGCTCACAGGAATTGCTAATAAAAAATGTACCACATATCTGAACACATTGCATAAATTCCTAATGCAATAATGAAGGCTTTAAAACTATTATCTGACACAAAAACCAGTTTCAAGGGGCTCTAACTAGCCAAATTCAGGGCAATTGGAATATTAAAATAAACAGCAAGAGGGGCAGAATTTTTGGCTATGAGAGATTAAGGAGCTCAAGAAATCCTTCCCTCAAAAAGCAGAAAGAAAGTTGGACAAAAATGACAAAAACCACTATTTCAGTGCTTTGGAACTCTACCAAAGGCATACAAGAACACGAGAAGCTTTTATGCATTGAAAAAACAACTTTACTTTAAATAAGAACAGTGGAAATCTGTGGTGGTTGGGCTCAGTGCTGCTCCTATTCCCCTCCCTACTATCCGCAACTGGAAGTTCTTTCAGGGTGGGGCAATCTGTTAAGATGGGAGCTTCTTTGCTGCAGATGGAGACAACTCATTCATTTTTGAATAATGGGCAAACTTGTTTGTGGATATGATATCTTAGAAGTTGTTGGAAAAGTCTACTAGCCTGCAGCTGTAGTCTGTATTTGGGACAAACATTCCTAGCTGAGGTTGCACATATGTGCAGCTGAAACCAGAGAGGGCTCAACTTATTCATACACTCCTGGACAACACTGAGAGTGATAGGGCCCAGCAGAAAGTAAAGGCTGGGCAGACTTGAAAACAGCCTGAACTTCGAATATGCTCCTCTAATCTATCTACAGATCCCCCTGGCAAACAATGGATGTCTTACTGCCTCAAGGTATTTGAGCACAATCATTATCTGACTACTAAGCTACGCAGACACGGGAACTCCTAAGAAGCCTCAATTAAAATATGTTCAAAGAACCAAAGAAACCATATTTAAAGAATTAAAGGGGACGGAGCACAGTGGCTCAGGCCAGGAGGTGAAGACCAGCTTGGGCAATACAGCAAGATCCCATCTCTACAAAAAGTTAAAAAAAATTAGCCAGGCATGGTGGTGCATGACTGTAGTCCTAGCTACTCAGGAGGCTGAGGCAGGACGATTGCTTGAGCCAGGGAGTTTGAGGCTACTACAGTGAGCTATGATGGTGCCACTGTACTCC